TATTTATTTATTTATTTATTTATTTATTTATTTATTTATTTATTTATTTATTTATTCATTCATTCATTTATTTGTTTGTTTATTTATTTATGTCATTTGTTTGCCACCCACTCCCTAGGAACTCTGGGTGGCTTACAGATAAAATAGGAGACATATAAAAATTTAAAATAAGAATACAGTTAATTTAAAAATTCACATCATGCAAAAACTTAGCGTGGGGCTGGATACTCATCAACAGCCCCAGGCCTGCTGGAACAGCCAGGTCTTAGCAGCTTTGCGGAAGGCCGGGAGAGTAGTGAGGGTCCGGATCTCAATGGGGAGATCGTTCCACAGGGCCGGGGCAGCAACAGAGAAGGCCCTCCCCCGGGGATTCGCCAACCGACATTGACCAGCTGATGGCACCCGGAGAAGTTGCCTTCAAATCCTTCCCTGTGCATTTGGATGGAGAGTCGCAGCAATGTTCCCCCCAAAACTGACACCGATGCTGTGAAGGAGTAATGCTGAGGAGTTTTTTTCATTTTGAACTCCAAACTTTCCTGTCCACACAGCTCCATTTCCGTGGTGCATCAGACCTGCAGCTAAATGCAGCTGTAAACTGCAATCTTCTTGACCAGCAAGGATTTGAATGAAACTCAAAACAAACCTTTTTAGTTTTTTAAAAAGCTGAAATCCCACCCCATTGCTTCCCAAATCTGCTCTTATTTTCAGAGCAAGACCCCTGCAAACATGGCTTTTAAAAAAAGTTGCAGGGTGGTGGGGGCGTCCCAGTTTAACCCCACACACACACTGTTGCCTCCAACTCTACTCTCCACCCATCGCTGTCCTCCTCTGACAGCCCACTTTCCCATCCAACACTCTATCCAGTGCCTGCAAAGAGTTATCCAATTTCTGGTGTTGAGATGTCCTGCAAAAAGATGGTGGCAGCAAGTTGGCAGGGGACTTGACGTTGGTGAGAAGGCTTCCCCCAGCTGGCCACGTTGAGTCCCATTCTGTGGGTATGCTGCAACAGTTGTGTGAAAAGCAATAATAAGTCACTTTTTTCAGTGCTATTGTAACTTCGAACGGCCACTAAATGAATGGTTGTAGGTTGAGGACTACCTGTATACCCTGGCGATGCCCTGTTAGCATTAAATATTAGGAAAGTGATATGTGTAACTGCAGCCTCTAGATTATAAAAAAAAAATTAAATTTTTTTTTGCCTAAGATTGTAAAATATAGTTCTTTCCTCTGTGGCTGTGTTGTGGAAAAATTGCCTTTTCTAAAGCCAATTGCTTCCCTTTCCAGGACCTGCCAAATGCCATGAATGCTGCCGAAATCACAGACAAACTAGGATTGCATTCTCTCCGCCACAGAAACTGGTACATTCAGGCCACATGTGCCACCAGTGGGGATGGTCTCTATGAAGGACTGGACTGGTTGTCCAATCAGCTCCGAAACCAGAAATGAACCGCTGAATTAATCCTCTTTTCTCCACCCCTCTTCCTCTTCTTCCTCACTTTAGTCTAATGTGGCAAACCCATGCTACTTTGTAGTATTGAGTGCCAGAAATTGTTTTCATCTTTTCTCGTCCACAGCATTGTCCTTCACGCTGTACATGTGGCAAAAACCAAGCCCGAAAAAAACACTTTAGGTTTTTTTTTTCTTATTTAATGTAAATAGTTCTTGTTTTTCCCCACGAGGCAGTTTCTGGTACTCCTATGCAATATTATTTGGGGTTTTTTATGATAAAGGTTTAAAAAAATGACTGAGCGGATTCAGAAAAAAAAGGTTGACAGGAGTCTGGTTTTGTTTGTGTCATGTGTCTGTGGACTAGTTCTGAACATGATCCCTCGGCTTGCAGAGCTGGGCTGAGGCCTGATTTCTACAGCCATGTTTTTAAGCCTGGGGACGAGTTTCTTTTCAGAAGATGGGTGGCGGGAAGGAAAGCGGGAACACTTGAACCCAGGACCCTTTGTGATTTCTGCAACAACATGAAAAATACCAGCAGTTTTCCTTGTTCCAGATTGTAGAATTCTTGGTCTCGTTTCTGTTTTTGACAGCCTTTTTGTCTTTGGAGGTGGATGGGAGACTTTCCCCAGAGTTAGAATGAAGTCAGTTGCAGATTAATGAGAAATTGTGACACACACCCCCGCCCCCCTTTAACTGCCTCTTAGATTTGTATTTTTAAAAAAATCCCCTCCAGCCTACGAGTGCCATCTGTCTGGGTTCCAAACAACATCCAAATCTAAATCAGAGTCCAAGACAAAGTATTACTCAAAGTTCCAATTTATTAAGAGAGTCATGTTGGCACATCTGGGAAAACCCGAATCTGAAAGCTTCCCGGTTTTCCCCACCCTGTTGTAAGTTCAAGATCCTGCCCCCACACCCACAAGCCCATCACATGGTCCAATCTTCCACTGCCATACTGGCAGTTCCACCCATCCAGTTCTGGTCAGGTGTAGAGACAAAGGATGACCTTGGATTCTAGAAAGGAATTTTAATTTGACAACATCACGTTCTACTCCTTACTATTCCCCCTCCCAATTCCCCACTAATGAAACAGCATAATAGAATAGAATATTAGTGTGGCAAGCCAAAGAACCCAAAAGGAACCAGCTGCAGGCCTGACAGGCGGGCTCTCCTCAGAAGAAAAACGTTTCCTGAAAAGAGAATAATGTAGGGGTTAACATAACAGAATTAACCACCTCTCCCCCACCCCCCCAGGGGGACCCTTTGGTTGATCAGGAAAGTTACCATGGAATTGTTTTACTAACTTATCTGCTTTTAGGTTCCAGCTTTTCACCCAAGTAGCTTCAGACAAAGGGTACCCCTTCCAATGCACTAAATACTGTAAGCGACCCCTATACAGCCTGGAGTCTTAAGATTTTTTTCACCTCATAATGTGTTTCCCCTTCTATCACTACAGGAGGAGAGAAAGCTTGGGTGGATGGTCTTATGCTG